AGTTGTCGCATTAAAGATTTTATGTGTGTGTGTATGTTTAAAGGAAATGAATTTTTTTTTTTTTTTTTTTTGAAAATTTTTGCCGTCTCGTACGCAATGCACGTTTAAATTCTTATGATGATTTCCCTATACATTATTATTATACAATATATATAATTTGTGTCAATGAAAAAGTCCTCAACGACATTTCCCAAACACACAAACACACATATAAAAGCAATAATAATGTTCCAGAAAAAAAACTTTTTATTTGGTTGTTTCATCAACTAAAGAAAAATAAAATGATGATCACAGATATTATATAGGATAATGTGATGGTAGGGCCTAAATTTTGATCGACAAAAAAAAAAATTTTTTTGGTTTGGTCTAGTTAAGTTGTTATATAGAAAAAACGCACACACAGACAGACACAGATTCTCAAAGACCTTGGTATTCAAAAAAAAAATGGTCCTGAAATTCAATTTTGTAAAAATCAAAATCATTTTTCTTTTTCTTCATTCGTGAAGCCGATAGAAGAAGAAGAAGAAAATTGACCGATCGATTAATATATATTATAATGATCAATTAGTTTTTATTTTATCGATGAAAAACAAAGAAAATGAAAATTGAAAAATTCCAAATAAAAATGTGCATCGAATCAAAAAAAAAAATTTGTTCCCAAATGAAACTACGCAGTTTACAAACAACAACAACAAAAACAAATGACGGTTCTGTTCCTTTTTGACAGATGCACCTGCAATGCGTCATATCAAAGATCATCAGTGAACAACAAAAAAAAATGACTGTATAGAATTGGTATAAAAAAATGGGGAATAATAATAATAATAATAGGTGGACACACCACATCAATATCAGTTTGATATCAAAAGGCACCTATTTTGTTTTTGTGTCTATGTTTTGGATTAGTTTTTGTTGATGTCGTATGTCGTATACTATGCCTGATTATTATTCAACCATTAAAGTGAGAGGGAAAAAAGGATATGCACACACAAAAACTATAGGTACATTATTATTTTTTTATATGGCAATCACCTTGTTGTTGTTTTTTTCTGGAGTATGGGAAAAATAAATCGAGAATACTCTCGAAATATATTCTAGAATCTAGATGGATAGATACATAGATAAATATGTTTTTTGAATATCCAAAAAGAAAAGAAAATGGTTGAATGATTTCGATATCATTCTTTGTATATAATATAAAAAGTGTGCACGCGCGATAAATTTTTTGTTTCTGGTTCTGGAACATGAATGAGAATTATTATGATCATATCGTTGATAAAGATGGAAATTTATTTTTATTAATATTTTTTTCTTCTTGAAACAGAAAATAACGATTTATATTTGATTGGACAATTTTTTTTCTTCTTCTTTAGCTATAGCTAATAATGATAATGATGCCGGTTCAATTTGATTTGATTCGATTGTGTGTGATCATAAAAATCAATTGGTTTTTCTATAGCCATAGTTTCAATTTGATTGTGATTTTTTCTATTTGAACAAACAGACTGAATACGGGCATTTTCTATTTATTATCATTATCCTCATTCAGATGTAAAAGAAAATGAATATTCAATTAATACGATAGTATATGAGGTGTGGTTGTAAATATTTTTAATAGAATTTGTTTTTTTACATTATTGGATAACAAGAAATATAAAAATGACATTAACTTTGTGTAATTTGCACTGATCTTATTAGCAGATTTTTGTATTGAAAAATTTTTAAATTAATTTTTTTTACCCTGGTATAACATTGATTTTTTTATTTGTGTTGCATATATGCAAAAGAGAGCAATATAATCACTTTTATCAGCCATGTGTAATATTATATGTCTGAATAATGTAATCCCTTTACTAAAATGATTCTTTTCAAAATTCCTATCATATAATAACGCCTACGCCAAAGATTTATTGAATTTGATGATAATCGATGATTTAAAATGATCAAATTTATAAAAAGATGAATGAAAGAAAAAAACTTTTTGAATAATAACAAGGATAAGGTCAATGATGTAAGTGAAAACCCTGTAATGATATTATACTTGTTTGTTTGTTATCATCATCGTTGTGGCAATGATTGATTGATGACAATAAAAAAACAAAAGTCATCAAATCACAGCAAAAAAAAAAATTAATCATCTTTTTTTTATTGTAACAATTATGATGATAGCAAATATAATTATTTTTTTTTATTAGCCTAATTAATTTGATTCGAATGTTCATTATCTAAATAATAATAATAATAAATGAATGTACTCATTAACAATTCAAATAGGAAAATTTTTGATTTCATTCAATACCAAAAAAAAAAAAAAAAAAGAATGACAAAATCGATTCGTCATTATTGTTCCACATTCAATTAGTCAAATGTCAATTTGGGTTTNNNNAATAATAAAAAAAAATGAATGTTCTCATTAACAATTCAAAAAGGAAAATTTTTGATTTCATTCAAAACCAAAAAAAAAAAAAAAAAAGAATGACAGAATCGATTCGTCATTATTGTTCCACATTCAATTAGTCAAATGTCAATTTGGGTTTGAAAAAATAAATCTATATTATGAATGAATGATTTAATCTGATTAGATAGACACGGCAAGAAAAAAAAAATACAATAAAATCGTTTTTTTAATATATAACTTCATATAAGATGATTATTCATTTGATATCTGAGTTTACCGATGATGATGATGATGATGATGATGCCACACCAAATCAAATACCAGATTCAATTTGATTGGCTTGATTGACACCTTAACAACCAACACAACATTACACAGTTACACAAATTAACTGTGACATATAAACATAGACATTGATCTTTTTTTTCCTACAAATACTGATTTATTCTATAGTAATTTTACCGTTACAACCAAAAAAAACCAAAGAAAAGAAAAACCTTTAATTATCCGGTTGATTAAATTGTTCTTTTTTTTACTATCTTCAATACCTTTACATTATAATAACCATTTATAATTGCAATAATCACAACCGGAATTGAAATAATAGAAACCAAAAAATAAAAGTGAGCGGTTTTTATTATATATATCTGTCTTATCATTAATATAAAATGATATTAATCATATTGAATGTAATCGATTAAATTGTTTCATTTGACTGGTTCGCTTTCATATATTTATAAATGATTAGTTTTCTCTCTCTGGTGATGATTTCGATTGATGGTGGGTGATCATTTGAACTTTGAACAAATAGACAATTATTCTACTATTATTCAATCATAAAATTTTCTTCTTGATTTCATATCTTCATATATATCTAATTTTATTCGTTTTATATCAATTTCGTTTGATTGATTTTTAATTATAAATGAATTTATTGTCAAAAAAAAAACAAAGAAGAAAGATATAGATTTCACATTTAATAATACATTATGATTAATGTTTTTTGATTATGGGTGGGAATTGTATTGTATTTGGGTTTGGGTATTATTATTATTATTATTGGATTGTTGGATATTATCACTTTTAAATGAAATGTCATATACAGCCTGTATGATGGCCTTGTGATGATTTAAACATAAAATTCAATCTGAATTCAACAAAATGAGGAAAAAACAAAAATCTAAATGAATGATCATAATTATCATTATGGAAAAAAAACATTAAATACTATTACTACTATGTGTGTGTGTGACTTTGTGTTTGGTGTGGGTGATAACAAAATTAGAATCGATTTATTTTCCAAAAAAAATAAATTGAAGAAAGGCCTACATGGTCATCATCATCATTGGTTATAATTGTGGTGAGTTCCGTTCCGTTTCGTTCACATAATGAAAAAAAAGAAAGAAAATGTTCACTTAATCATTTGCATTGTCAGTATTCATTTATTCATTCATTCATTCATTTGTTCCATTTTCGTTTCTTTTTTTGTTTTATTTTATATTCCATATTATATAATAATTTGAATAATTTGTCTATATTCATTTGCATGTGTGTGTTTGTTTGTATATATTTGAGTGGTTTAAATCTTTTTTTTCGTTGTGTGTGGTTCTTTTTTTTTGTAGAATCCAATATTCAGTCAGCGCCACTACAAATTACTATTTAGTAGTAAAATGTTTTTCGGTTTTCCAGATCTCATTTTTTTTGACAAAATGAGATGCATTTTTATTGTAAGAAAAAAAGATGAAGATTGTTTTTTTAATTTCTATTTTGTTCAATGGAAAACAATTTCATAGGATTATTCTGTTTTTCTTTTCTGAATCATCTAATCTAATCATTGAAGTTTAATCACATGTAAAAAAAATTACAATAAGAATTATCTTTCTATTGTTATGGATGCTTTTTGATCAGCTAATTTTTTTTTCTAAGTGTATAAGGAATTTACAATGAATTCAAATTTTTTTCTGTATAGAGTGTGGACTGCCATCTATTTGGAACATTGTGAAAATGTTTTTTTTAAAAAAAATATTTCCAAATAAGCTATTAATAAAAAAAAACAAAATTTTTTTATTACTGCAGTATTTTGTTTTTCATTTATTTAGCCAAATATTCAATGCAATCAAGTTTTCTGAGAATTTGTTAAATAAAAAAATCGAAATGAATAAACAATTTAAAGCTATTGAAGTGATAAAAGGAAAATGAAAAAATATGCAATCATTCATTAAATTTACTAATTCTTTTTTTCGTTCAATTTTTCGACAATAGCCATCATTATCTACAAATGTATCTTTTGGACAGCGACAAATTCCGAATGTTTTATCACAAACATAACCATTAAAACATTGTTTGTTATTTTGACAGGACCAATTTTCAATGCAACGAGTTCTATCAATAGTGGCTGTATAATTTTCCGGACAATTTCCAAATCGTTTAACATAGCCAACTTCTTTATAAATGCAATATTGAATGGTAAAATTTTGTGGATGTCGTAAGCAACGATGACTTGGTGGACAAGATGATTCTAAAGGATTGTTTTCGTTGAATTGGCATGATATTTTCACTTCACATTGACCATTCATCGAATTTTTTACGAAACCATCCATACATTCACAGGTTCCAACAAACAAATGACTAAATTCACTTGGAATTAGAGCACAATATTCAGCAATTCCGTAACAATCCTCATTAACAAAACATTCGTCTTTGATTTAATAAATTTTTTATTAATAAATTCAAAACTATACTTTACAATAACTTACTGTTTTCAAATAACTGTATATCTGTAAAAAAAATCAAACAAGTAAAAAATATATGAAGAATTTTGAAAACAAAATCAACTAAATTATACTAACCACATCCATCCGAACCACCTGTGACCAATAAAATGAAAATAAATAGAAAATTTTTCATCATCGATATAATAACTGAATCGGATGCAAATTGACAAGTTAAAACAAAACGAAACATTTCAAATGAATTTGTTGTTTTTTTTTGTACATTTATTATGGAAATTGTTTATTTAAAAAAACTATTTATCACAGTGAGCAGAATAATAAGATGGTGTAAAAGATAATCATTATCAAATCAATCTGTCGCTATGGGTGTTAAGGAGTATCTTTCTTTTTCTTAGATTTAAAACCATTTCATTGGCTTTGATACGTATTAAATCACGATTTTCCCATGATTTCATTTGGCTAGCTAAACGTCGACCAACATTTAATAATTCTCGTTCCCAATTATCTAGACGTCCAACGAATTGATTCATATCGTTTAATGTTTCATCAGTTATTGATGTTGGACCTTTACTGCCTGTTTCACGTAAAAATCGTTCATGTTGATCAGTTTTGATCATTGAATCTAATTTTGATATTGATGAACATGTAGATTCATGTAATGAATTGCCATTATCATCCATATTTGATATTGATCCATTAGTACCACTACGGCCAGAAGTATTTCCACTCAAAGCGAAATTAACCAAACGACGGAATCGTTGTTTAAATGTACTTAACATAGAAACTGCTACATCTTCACTTTCGGACAGATTCATACCGGTCAAATGTCGTCCGGTTAAATAATAATTAGGTCCTAATTTATGTAGATTAACACAATTAGCATCGGCTTCAAGAATTCCTCGATAAATTAGATTATATCCTTTTGGTAAATTAACTGTTACAGCACGATCGCCATTCAATTCTTTTACAATCCATAATGGTAATTCTAATTTTGTTCCAATGACAATTTCATGGTTAATCAGATCGCTTGTACAATCTTCTTGATGCTGTTGTTGTTGGCTAGGATCTAGATAACCTAATTTTGGTATTGTACGTTGAAATTTTACCGATAAACGAATAGTTTGTGATAGAATATCGTTGAGATCAAAATAATTCGAACAATAAAATATATCGCGGACACGTGATGATGATTGATCGGACAATAAAGACATCGATTTTGATGCTGTCATAGTCGTCATATTGATATTTGTTCTATATAAATCGCTAGATTCTAAAGAGGATAGATTTTGCCGGGATCGAAAAAATGGATCATCAATATTATTGGTAAACGTTGATGACATGAAACCACCAACACCGGAGTCTTCGATACAATTTGTCGACATTTCTACATCTTGTTCATCAATCGGATTATCAATATCGTATAGCATGGATTCTTCCATCATTGTTTCCAAATCATTTTCTGTGTGATGACGATTATTATTCATAATTCGTTATATTTTAACAATAGTTATTGATGTTAACGAAAAAAAAACAATTTCAATAATTTAAATAAAATATAAGCTAATGTTTTGCAAAAAAAGGCGGTCAAATTTATCATTTCATTTATGAATAGTTACAAATTTTGCATTTCGCTTTATTCATTCAAATAGAAACTGTGATTATAAGGTAATGTATGTACCCAGGTTCTAGCATATTCTTACAGACAATAATTCTTATTGCCACTACTGCCAAACAAATTAATCATATAAAATGAAATAAATACAGTCATTACTCGGAAAAAATAGAAAATCAAAGATTTGATAACGACACCTGTTGACAATTAAAATAGTGGAGAGAAATTTATAATTTGCTTAAAGCTAATTTCACTGTATTCGGTTACAACTATTATGACAATGACAAATATTGAAAAGAGAAAAAAAAGAGGCGGTATCCATTTAGCCAACCTACATAGAGCCAGTATATATAAATACGACAGGCAAAAAAATTGTGGAAAGATGAACAAGCGCGCGGCGTATGATTGTCGAATGATGATTGTTTGCAAGTGAGCATTTGAGTGGTATTGGGCATGCGTTTCATAGCTGTTGAGATGAACCACTACTATTCATACGGCATTGATGAGATTGATGATGGAGGATAGAGGCACGATAATAATTTTTTTTTCTCCATCATCATCATCATCATCATGAAGATGGCAATGGGTGAAATTTGGCGTTCTGGTTTTCGATTCGTATCCATACATACGGGATAAGTGATGTTTTGTTTGAGTTTCAATTGAACAATCCAAAAAAAAACAACATTAAGAATAATCGAACAAAAAAGAAATAAAGATTTGCCCTTTGAACCCTTCGAAAAACAAACATTCGAATTGTATAAACAAACTCAATTTCATCATTGAAAATTATTCCAATTCGCATTTGTCGATCGGTTGACAGGTTGATCTGTTCGTATTTTTTTTTAAAATTCGTGATGACAATGACCATCCAAATTAATTGTATTTTTGTTTAACACATCTTTATATATGACATTCATATTCGACCTGAAAAAAATCATTATAATGTCAGAAATATTGTCCACATAAAATTGAATTTACAAAAAAAAAAAGATAATAATCAATTTCAAGCTCGACATTTTTATTCATCGATTGAAATCCTAATCATTTACTAATCACCGGTAAGTAGATTTTTTGTTCTGTTCATCATTAAAAAAACAGAAATTTTAATTTTTTTTCTATTCAATTTTTATTACTTTCAAAATTCTTAGTTTGGAACAAAAAAAAAGAATTTGTTTTTTTTTGGTAAAAATTGTACTCATCTGTTGCCATTCATCTTTAAATCAAAATTGTATAAAAATTTTTGCACATTTCAAAAAAAAAATTTGATCAATCATCGAAATATCATAGTTACTCATCTTATTGATTGATTCAATTCAATCGTATTGGCGTGTTATATTTATATATGCACAATACCAACTCCACTTTAGTTTAACTCATTATCTCATTTTTTTTAAAATAATCATTTGCCTTATCATCATCACTATCTATTTTGGCTCATTATCATCATTCAATATATTATAATAATCAATCAAAAGAAAAAACTCTTCAATTAAATTGAATTCATCAAAATCGCTGATTGATACGGTTGTGCAATTCCAAATATCTTGATACTATCGTTGGTTTCCAATAGTGATTAATGTCTCATTAAAAAAAAAATTCATCATATTTGAACACCTGGATTACGGACAGTCCCACATACGTGTGTGTTTGTGTTGGGTACTGAATACATTATCTATTTTTCGCAAACAAATTTAAAAAGAATTATTTTCAATTTAAATTTAAAATGGCCGCTGCAACTGTGGTGAGTATTTATTTATTAGATTTTTCTTTGAAATCATAGCGAAAAAACATTCATTTCCATGGTGATGATAGTTTTGTTTCTGGTTATGATGGTAATGATGTTCATGATGATGGTACAATGATTGATGACAACAGGTTGTTAATCATTATCGGATGGTGGATGGTAGTTTGGGAAATTTTTTAAAAACATTATTAAAGTAATCAACACGAATAATTTGTTCAGTTGTTGTTTGTGCGCTGTAATAGTGTAATAGCTTAGATTTATAGTTTTTTTTGTTAATCGTGTAATTGTCGAATTTACTTAAATAGGTTCGATTTTTTCAGTTTTAATTTTTAAAACAAATGAAGCATAAGCTTTAAAATTGTGATTAGAATTTCACATATTCAACGTTAGCAAAAAGCGACAGAACAAATCTTTAGCTTTTTATTAACAAAAAAATAAATATAATGCAACAACAGCGAAATGATAACTGCAATCGACAACAAATTCCTTCAAATATTTTTGGACCAATCCCATTTCAAACAATGGGTAGTCCTTCACTATCAAGAATTTGGAATGCATGCCAGCAACAACAGCATCATACTAATAATTATGGTTATCTACCATCATCATATCCTCTTTCATATTCACCGAATCATCAACGATTCTCTGCTCAACGATCATTATTGCCCGCTTGGCAACCTTGCCGTCAACAACAATTAGATAACTCAAGATTTTTCCATTCACCATCATCACGACGAACATTACCACCATTCTATCATAACCAAAATTATCATCATCACCAGAATGATTGTTGTGGCTATAGAATGACAATCGCCAATAATGCTAGTATCATTGGAGTTTGTCATTCTTCAACGTCCGGTTCATTGGACACTTTTTTGAAACCTCGTCCACCACATTCACGTGATATTGTCGTAATTACCCTATATTCTTGTTTTATCCGGTGAGCAAGGACGCCATCTGGTGACCTTTGCTAAAGAATGTTTTTTAAAATTTTTAAAACTAAATTTAAATACAAATTGTCTTGAATATAATTATTTGTTTAATTTCATTAAAATTAGCCAAAATTTTACAAATCAGTCATTGATGATGTTATCGCATCGATACGTGAAGTTTTTCTGGATGATGGAATCGATGAACAAGTGATACAGGATTTGAAACAAACATGGGAACGTAAAGTATTGGAATCACGTGCGGTTGAGCATGCATTACAACAGGCTCAAGCTCAAGCTGCGTCTCCATCGTCATCGACTACAACGTCGGGAACTTCGACGACAACTAATACAACTACAACTTCTACAAATTCGTCATCAAAAGCCGAAAAGTCATCGAAAAATAGTCAGAAAAAAGATCGTGAGCAGCAGCTACAGCAGCAAAGTAATACCGGTCAAGGTCAAACAACATCAGTGATTACATCGAATCCAAATCACGTACAAAAAAATGGCGGTAACAGCAATGCATCCAATTCCAAAACCACCAACAATATCTCATCGAAAGTAATAAAAAAGGAAATTTCTGATGAGAATATTGCCAGTACGGCCACAACTTCAAAAAAACAGCCAACGATATCCGCTAATTCTAACACTGTGATGGTCACTAATCAATCGCAATCGCAGCAAAATGTTGTAACAACGATAGCGGCACCAACTCTGGCGACGACCCTATCTGGTCATCTTCCTCAGCAGCCGCAACAACAGCCAACAATGTTTCGTGCATCGGCTATCGTTCAGAATACGCATTCATTGCAACAGCAGCCTCAATCACAACACGGATTCATTGGTATGACTACTTCAGCATCGCCTAATGGTGGAGGGCCCCATACTGGAACGCCAACATTATTACAGGTATCATCATCAATTTCCCCAACAAATTCCTCGTTATCAACGAGTCAAAAAACCAATAAGCGGCAAACTGGTGGTAGTGGAGGTGATGGGAAGCATGTTCATCATACATTAGCTAGTGGAATGATTATCGGGTCTATGGATGTTGGTGGTGGTGGTGGTGTTTCTAGTAGCTCTAATATTTCCAGTCATATTGGCATAGGGAGTGATGGGATGGGTAATAGTAATGCTGATGCTAGAGGATCTTTTAATTCATCCCTATCAACAACAACAACAACTGCAGAAGCAAACACCTCTTCCTCACAGGGTCGATCAACATTTAAGAATGTCAATTCATTAGCAATAAGCAGTAGCGATAATAATTTTAATACTAATAGGCATTATAATAGCGATATAATTAATATTAATAGTAGTAATAATCATAAACGTATGAGAATGGATATTCGTCCATCTAACAAACGACAATCAAACAACAATAGTCAGAAATCGATTCATAATCCTCAGCAACAGATTAATCTAAATGATTTAGCTGATGCCGCAATTATTTCACGAATGAATTCCCAAGATGGTATTGGTAATCATTTGGCTATTGGTAGCGGACAACATAATTATCCCGTTTCACAATCAATACCAATTAATCTATCGACTGCTACAAATACAAATCGTTCATTAATCTATCCTGATCGAACTGCAACAGGAGCAAATGCTCATAACCATCATGAACAAATGGTTATGCAGCAATATTTGAATTCATTTATGAATCAACCATCCTCATCATCGCCCTTTTTATCCCCATATGTTGCTACATCATCATCGAATAGTTCTACCTCCACTTCCGGACAGTTCTTAGACCGTAATACCGCAGGACAAAGCCATTACAATAACATTGGTGCTGGTGGTGGTGCTATTAATATTGGTATTGGTGGTGGTACACATATGTCAAACAATTCTCATAAGGTTGTAGGTCTTATTGTATAATACTCAAAAATGTTGTTGCTGAATCACATTAGTCTAAGCTTACAATCTAATCGCTAATAGGATTCTAGCTATCTATCGCTTCAACGCTTTCTTAATTCTAATAACGGTTTAAAAAATTTTTTCTCGCAATTTCATTTCGTGACAAAGTCCGTACAAATCCTTGTCCTATTCTAATAATTGTCGCCTTTATGTTTCTAATATTTTAAGCACCAACACATGCATCCGATTTGATGCATATCCGTTATGTATGTGTTTGTGTTTTCCTCACCTACCTCCCAACCAGTCATCCGATCTGGTATAATTTCTTTCTATGTGTGCTTTTTTAAGAAAAAAAAACTCATTTTATCTGTGTTGTCGATTTTAATTTGATCGAACACACACTTAGATTTTACTAATTTTTTTATCAATCATATTTTTCCACATTATCCGTATTTAGGAAGTCAAATTTCCATCTGGAATGTTATCTGGAACGCACAAATTGATAATGCTACCGAATAATATGGTAATTGTTTGTGTTTCGAATGAATTATCTTTATATAATTAAATATTTTGACAATATTAGGGACCTCCTGGCACTGGAACATTTGTCATTAATCAAGATTTATTGAATTCAATCAATCTTCAACATGGTAATAGTATCTTACATGCTGCACCAGGTGGACAGCCAGTTTTTCAACAAGGTTCGTTTGTTATTTATAATGTTATTAATTATAATCATGTTTTTCATATGAAAATAGGTCTAGCTCCTGGAACCATTCCATATGCAATTCGTACAGCTGGCGTTCAACCGAATATGGGTATAACAACAACACCATTACAACAAATAGTTCGTGGTCAAGTTCTTTCCACATTACCACAGACAATCCCCTCGGTATTGACGAGTGGAGCTCAACAACAACAGCAACAATCAATTGGTCAACAACAACAATCACGACCAAGTTCTGGAGCTGGTGGTCGTGTGGCTCAATTGGATGGCTATAATGATCAAACTAATGATTCAAGTGATGATTCCAATGATGATGATGATCTGGATGATTATCGTGACAATGATGATGATCTCGATGGTGATGATGATGAAATGAATGATGAAGAGAATGAAGCTGGTGTGGAAGAGGTATGAATCCAAATGATTTTTAAATTTGAATTCTTCATTAGTTTATATGAAAACTTAGGAGCCATTAAATTCAGAAGATGATGTAAGTGATGAAGATCCAGTCGAACTTTTCGAAACAGACAATGTTGTCGTTTGTCAATATGATAAGGTTGGTTGTTTTTTCAATTATACCTGTTCCTAATATTTGGGAATTTTTTCTTTGAATCAGGTCACTAGAACAAGGAATAAATGGAAATTCTATTTCAAAGATGGTATTATGAATCTAAAAGGAAAAGATTATGTCTTCTCACGAGCTTTAGGTGATGCTGAATGGTAAATACACAAACAATGCAATTGTTATCACCACACAGAATGAGATCCATTTCTCATTTTCATCTCGTCAATAATCATTTTTATCATTCTTGTTGTACGTGTGTCATTCATTTCATTCAGAATTTATTTTTTTCACGATTTTCAATGAAAAAAGCAAACGTGAACAGAAAAGTTTGCATCGATCGAAAAAAAACTTATCAATCAAATTATAAATAATATTCACCTATAATTACAATCCCTGAAAAGATGTATTCTTGTTCTGGCTGTCTTCATTCTTATCTCCTTTTTTCTTGATTTTCTCATTGTGTTAACTTGTTCTTTTTGATAATTTTTTTTTTCGTTTTAAATACACATAACCGCCCACACACAAATATACCAAATGAAATTTGTAATTCCACTCAACAAAAAATGATCACTTGAAATAGCTGAAAAAAGATCATCATTAAAAATGGTGAATTAGTAACCAGTTTTTTTTCAAACTCGATTTTTCATTCAAATTCAGTTCATTTGTTTTGATAACATTTTTTTTGGTTAAAAGTAAATATGTATTGCAGTCACACACACACACACACACACCCACATCCAACAAACAACCAGACAGACAGACAAGAATTTCGCTATTAATTTTCAAATTATCAATCAATTGTGTAATCATTCAATCATTATTTTTTTTGTGCTCGCGCAAATCTTACTTTCATTGTCATTATTATTATTGTTTTAAATGAGAATTTCTAATTGAAAAAAAAATAATTTCTGACAAAATCAAATTGAATAAATAAAAAAAATTTAATTTTAAAATCTTTACAATAATTTAATCAATAGATGTCGTTGATAATTATTTTGTCGGTTTTAAACATCAATTTTTAACTTGTTTCTATATGGGGGATAATGTTTGCATTGAAACAAGTTTTATCTATCCGCCGTATTACACCTGTGTTTGTTATAAAGGGAAATTAATCAACTATATAGAGGTTTCGTCGACGTAAATCGATGCTTCTACCTTTATGCCAAAATGATAATAGTTGTTTGAACGTTTGTAAAATGGCGGTTTGTCAGGCAAAGCAACAACCTGTTGTTCATTTTTTTTTCTCTCACCTGCTTTTATTATTCATTCGTCGGTCATTGTGGATCGTCGAACTTTTCTGTTCGCCGAATTGAAAGTTTTTTTTTGTTATGATAAACATCGCTTAAAAATAATGAAAATTTATCAAAGATTTCTTGTTTCAATTCAATCAACATAATCAATCGAATGTGAATCATTAAACTTATGGATGGCTGTTTGAGAATTAAGTAATTACGAAAAGGTAAGTTATTTTTTCTGTATTGTTATTGCATCTGTGAAATATCCGGTGTTTTTTCGAAAAATTGTTTTCATCCTGTTTTCATCTGGTTGTTCATTACAATAATGATTCATATAGTTTGCTCTATGCATTCGTAATATAAAATTATTTTGGTTGTCTTTCAACTTACTTTCCGGCTTTATATCACACGATAACACAAATGATATGGCCCTTGAATAAATAAAAAACGGTAGCCTTTTTTATTTTAGCTATAACCGGCATAAGTATTCCATCTTATACGATTTGATCATAAAATTCATTCGGTTTGGTTCCAATAAATCCATGTGACAATAGTTTTTCTGTTTGTTTGTTTGTTATCTGTTTTCAGTTTATATTTGCTAAAATGAAGGCCAACAACAAACGTTTCCGATAAACTTATCTATGCAAATTGTTCATTTTAAAGAGTCAGCATTTTAGATTTTCTGTTGTGTGATGTACAATCGATCATTTTGTATCGTTCGCTTCAATTATTTTGTATCTGCTTACATTCATATAATGGTAGTGGATGCTTTAAAATCGATCAAATCTTTCAATATATATCCATATAAATGAATCCATCTTTTAAAGATCAATTTAAATCGATTAAATGTATTATATATGAATGTGGTCAAGTTTTCAAATTCAAAAATATTTGCCAATCAAATGTCTCAAAGTTCAGCAGCATCATGATGATGATGATGATGATTTTGACAAGCTTTCGGATTTATATAATCAAACTGTTGTTGTTGTTGTTGTTGAATGTTTGGATCGGGTCAAAAAATTTTGCATTATTATTATAGGTCGATAAATAGTAAATGAAGAAACTTTGATGAAAAGTTAAATTTTCTCTCTCTCCATTTTTTTTCGATAGACATGTGTCCACTTTTTTTCCCGATGGTTTATATCAAATTAATACTTATGTCAATGGAAATGAAAACAAAAATTCCCTTAATGATTTTACTATTTGATTTAAATAAATTGGCTTACATTGTCATTGATAATTTTGTTTATATATTTTTTTTGATAAATTAGCATACATAATTCGATCAAAATTTCAAATCATTTTGGTTGTTTTTTGTATTGAAATTATATTATTTTTCTTTTTTTTTTTAATTTCCTCAAGGGATTATTATAATTATTTCCAAATGATAATTGATATACAAGTATTTTTTGTTTGTTTGTTTGTTGAAATCTATTTAGTTTATTTATTATCAAATGGAAAAAACCGTTGCAATGATAGAAACGATAAGCGAATACCTTGGTCATTTTCAGCCATAATTTCTCGATTGATTCCTTCATTGATTTTTTCCTATTCAATTTTTGTTTTTGGTTACTATTTTTTGATTGCATTAATCGATGACGATTGTTGTTGTGGATCTGACAATTTTTAATTGAATAAATTATTCGAAGATTTTCTTGTACTTAACAAAAAAAAACTAACCGCAAATATTGCCTGTTTGTTTGTTGGTACAAAATAGCGAAAATTTCCCTTTTTTTCTTTTTTTTGAAAATTATTGGGAATTGTTTCATTTGCACAACCATTGTGTGGTGAATAAATTTTGTTTCATGATGATTTTCAATTGCTAATCAAACTTGTTTTTTTTCTTCTAGTTTTTATCTTTTTCTTTTCATTATAATTTCGTATTCAACTTTGAACGACAAGTGGTACGAATCTTTGGAACGAGGGAATTTTTTCTTTTATAATTTCATCGGTGTTGTGAATTCTGTTTTTGTGTAAATGTTTCTAAATTCCAAAAAAAATATGATCAAAAATGTCTAAATCAACGAAATTATCGATTAATCATCATCATCACAATAATCACCAGCATAATAATCATCATCATACTCAACAACAACAATCAAATCATTTGGCTACCAAATCACAATCAACAAAATTGACAAAAAAATTACGTAAATTAAAATGTGTTTTTGTTGGTGATGATGCTATTGGTAAAACTAGTTTAATCGTATCATATACAACCAATGGTTATCCAACTGATTATGTGCCAACTGCATTCGATACCTATTCTGGTAAGTGTTTTTTTTATCAATAAATAATGATGATGTTGTTGTTGTTCTGTGGCCAAAAAATTTCTAATCCTTTTTTTTACCTGTTATAACGATAGTCTATTTTTACACATTTATTTATCCACATACACAAACATCCGTAATAATTATACAATCTCACCATAAAACGAACAACGTGTATTTCTTTAAATGAATTTAATTATCGTTTTTTTTTGGCTCGTGGTAATCATCATCATAATGATGATGATTAGGATGATGGCCAATAGCTAAATTTTATTCATTACTATTTCTATTTCATTTTCAATTTGTCTTGAATGTTTGTTTATGTTCCAACGAATTTATTCGTCTTTAGTGATTTTCACTTTTCACATGATCAATTGAATGAATATTTTTTTCCGCCAATACAAAATTTCCAAGCTAATCGAATACCAATTTTTCTTCATTCATTCATTTATCGAATTAAAAATAGCATCATTATTTTTATGTTTTGTATATCCTGATATTTGGTGATGGTGTTTGAATTTGTAATTACATTTTTGTTTGTTTGTTTGTCTTAAGACTTGCGAAAAAAAAATCAATTGATTTTAATCATATGATGATCAACAAACATATATCGTGATGAAATTTGTTCAACTTAATTTTATTCCGTGTTAAATTATACATATGTTAAAATGACAATCAAAATAGATAAAGTTGTCATTATAATGTCTATTTACAGTTATTTTTGATAAGATAATTGATTATTTATTAAATATATGTTTTTTTTTGGAATTGCGTATGTCAACAATTTTTTTGGTCAGGATTTCAAATTGTCGAATGAAAACAATCATTTTGTCATTCGCTTTTGATCATTGTGATGAAATATTCTCTTTCTCACTTTTGTTTGTTTGTTCTGGTTTTGTTGATCAGGCGTAAGAAAATCTAATAATTGTGCTGATATCGATTGAATTGAACAGACCACACAAAACCGATAAAAAAGAGAAATGGTCAATAATTTCAATAGAAAATTGACAGACACATTTTTTTTTGCTGTTGTGGATTCTATTTTTAAATCATTTTTTTTGTTGTTGTTGATATGATGATGTATGTAATCGAATAGATTGATAGCTAGATAGATTGATCACTATAGCAAAACAGTTGTTATTTTTTTTTTCGTTGTTTAGTTTTACGAAATCTTATGGGGAGAAAAAAAATGAAAAGACTTTGTTGAAGGTTTCAGATTTTATTCATCCCATTTAATTTGAACAATCGATCGTCCATTCAATCGATTGATCGATTGATTGATTGATGTTTTTTTTTTGTTGTAAATATGATTGATGGGTTGTACAATGTAAAGTTTAAATTGAATACTACCCGGTTCCGTTTCTTTCTCTCTCGCTCTCTCCACTAATTGAATCCTTCAGGTTTCATCATCATCATCAAAATCATTATAAATATGAATGAAAAAAAACAACCGATAATTCTTGATAAGATATATGTCATTATTTATAAATTTCATTTCTATTTATGTCAGTCAGATATGATTGGATTTTTTTTATGATTAAAAATTTCAAATTTTCTGTCTCCAAAATTGGAATTATATATTTTAGAATCGAAATAAAAATAGAATAGAAATTCCTTTTTCACAAAAAATGAGGAAATGATTTCATACATTCTTTTTTTTGGGCATTTTTTCATCATCATGCATGGATGAATGACTAAAATGATGGAATGAAAACGGTAAAAAAAATTCTTATATAGAAAAAATCATATTTCTTATCCTTATTTTGATCAAGGTGTTAATTATCATTATTATAATTATTATTATTAATATTAACAATTATCAATCATGTCAACTTGATCAACAGGTTTCTTTTTTGGTTTTGTTCAAAATTTCATCATAACCAACAATCAGGATGCAAATCATTCATTCAGGTATATAAATCCTTTCATTTATCCATTATGATCATATATGGAATTCTGGATTTTTTTGTTGTTGTTGTTGTGATTAATGATTCTCATTTCTTACCACAAAGTTATTTTTTTCAATTGTAAAAAAAAGAACTGTATGGATAATAATAATGGTTTTTTTCTTTGTTTAGTATCATCGACCTTCATCATCTTTTTGTTGTTGTTGTTTCGATTGTTGTTGTTGTTGAATTGATTGTATACGATTATTCATTTCAATCTAACCAATTTTTTTATGATTGATCATGAATTAAACTTAAGATGATGATGATGATGGATTTGAATTGAAAGTTTCTTCACGATGATAATGATAACTGTAGGATCACATAACGGCATTTTCTTTTGAAATTCAATTTCAAATTTTCATTTGATTAAAAACAAACAACAACAGTAGAAATTAAATTCATCATTATTGCATTTTAAATAGGCTTCTGATATGATCATCGATCAATCTTATTGAATCAATGTAATTTTATTTTATTTTATTTTCGTTATTAATACAAAAAAAAACATAATGATTTCCTGAATCATCAACCAAATTTATGATGGCGGTATTGATTCAAATTATTTATGATGCTATAGCCACGATCTTTCAATCTTTTTTAAATTTTTTTAAATTTTTTAGTTTTTTGTTTTCTAATAAGCAAAAAAATTTAATTCAATTACACACGAATAGATCACATGATTCAGTCATGATGGCAATCATCATCATCATCATTTTGATGAAGATTATTATTATCATTATCTACTGTGAATGGCAGACAAATCAAATCAATCTAATATGATGACTTTGGCCACAACCACGACAATCAAATCAATCTAATATGATGAAAAAAAACAACAACAAAAATAATAATAATTTTAAAATTTATTAATCTCAGTTCTGTTCGTTATCATCATCATCATCATTGGACCATCTTTCTATCTATACTCATATCTTTCAATCTATCAATCAATCAAGCTGAAAACAATGTTGTTGTTGTTGTTGTTTTTGGTGCAAGTAAAGGAGTGAAAGAAATTGAATTTTTTTTCTCTTCTTTTTTCTCGATAGATTTTCTTATAGTTATTTCAATAATTTTTGTTTGTCTGATGGTTTATCACATTCACTATTTTCTTGAAAGATACTGTTGAATGTATAACGTGTATAAAAAAAAACTTTCATTCACACACAAGCTTTATTCGGGAATTTTTTTTTTATTTTCGCTGATGTTCTGCTTCCTTGTCGCCAAGTAGGTTGTTGTAGATTAGCTAATTATACCTAGACATGTTGATGATGATGCTTTGATTCAATCATTCATCGTGGATCAGATTTTTTTTCGATCTTTTTTCTATGCGAATGATGTTCAAGATTTTTAGACAATGTCTGTGTGTGTGTGGAAATACTTAGTCCTGTCAAAAAAAAAAGAAAAGAAAACATGTTCCAATTGATAGACATCCACAAATCCAACAATAGGAACAAATGATGCATTAAACAGCAATAATGTTGTCAAATTATTTATTTAATCATATTTATTATCCTATATAGTCCATTATTGCACTAAATTGGTTCCAATTTAGTGCTTAACGGGGTTTCTACAGAAAAACAAAACAAAACAAACATATTTTTGACATGTAGAACAAAAAATGATTTGGATTCAATCTATTCAAAGCAAACAACAACACCGACAAATCCTGGTTTACAATACAATATATAAAATTTAGTTCAGACAAATCTTCTGAAAAAAAACAATTCCTGTGATTTAGTTTCTATTTTTAAAAAAATTTTTAAAAAATTTTCTATTTTACAAATATCAAATAAATGTCATTTTGAACTAATTTCGCCCATCCTGTGTTTAATTGAATTTTTGTTTTTGTAAAAGAAAAAACATTGACAAAATTATTGAAAACACCCTGAATATACGGTGGTACCGAAAGTCAAAGGAAATTGTTGAAATTCAAAACAAAATGAAAATCATTTCGTTTCGGATATTTTCCGGTTATCAATTTTCTATTTCTAAACACAATCATGTTTGATGATGTTAAATATTGATAGATTGAAATTAAAATCATTTCCGTAATGTCCATCAATGTTTGAAAATTGATTTGTTACAACATCCATTAAATGATGATGATAAAGATTATACAAAAAATGATTAATAATAATAATAATAATCTTAAGATTGAAAATGTTGTTGTTGCTGTAAACAACATATTTTATTTATAGATGAAAATAAATGTTAATCATTTAAAGATGATAGATAGATTGATAGATAGATTGTCACCCCTCAAAATCAAGTCATGATTTATAAACAAAGTTTTCACATAAACATATTAATTTTATTCAACAAAAAAAAAATGTGATCCATTCACCTCCTAATCAATAATCAATGATGATTAAAAATATTTCGTGATTATTTTCATGTGGTCACCATCATCATATTGAAATCTTATTTGTAAGCACGATCTTTACGATCCACACGATGATGATTGAATGTTTTTTTTCCTACAAAAGCTCGTGATTGATATTCAATAGATGTGAAAAAAAATTTCAGAAAAAGAAATAAAAACCGTATTCAAAATACTAAAAATATATTTTTTTCAGTGAAACAATAATGAAAAGAAATTTTTTTTTTTCAAAAATAAATGAATGTCAAATGCCGAAACAAAATACAATCCGATAAGCCAAACAAAACCCGAAAAAAAATCTTCAATGATCATTTGGTTATTCCATTCGGTTTGGCTTTGTTTTGATTTTTTTCTAAATAATCTTTTATTTTGGCCTAGATTTTCCTTTTTTAAATCCTCACAATTTTTATATTTGGGTTGACCATTTGGGATGAACACTGGAGCAAATGATCAAATCATCACGTTTTTTGTTTGTGATAAATAAATAAATGAAAAACAACAACAAAGTATCCTCAAACATGTAAATAAGCATTTTATAGGGGAACCTTTAATCATTGACATTATCAGGCGGTGTTCTTCAACAATAACAACAACAACAAAAATCTAATTACCAGTAAAATATCATCATCGTAATCCATCTACATATGATAACATAACAATCCATAATCGAC